CCAGGATGGGACTTGACACCTGCCTACCTTCCTGATCCCCTTGCTGCAGCCATACAGGCCCTGTGTATCTACATATGGATAGGTCTGTGTATATGTTTGGATATACATGTGCATGTGTATCTTTGTCTGTATGTCTTCTTATGCCAGGGGCCCCTTCCTCTTTGGGAAAAGGTACTATAATTAAAAAACTGCAAAAGCGATTAATCTATACTAAGTGAAATTTACATATCAGAGTCAGGGAGATGACAGCCTAACTTGGCTTCCTGGAAGAGCTTTCTTGCTAAGTTTTAGACAATAAGGAAGTGAATTAAGCTCCAAGATAATTTGAAGGGAAAGGAAGAGATGATAGTTTAAAAAAAAAAAATCTTCTCGCCTTTCTTACGTGGGCATTTTGGACTTTCATCCCTTATGCAGTAAATGAATATTCATCATTACTGATGTCATCCTTGAAAAGGAAAATCTGTTAGGCTCAGTCGCCTGTTTAGAAGAAGAGATGTGTTCGCTTATCTGCTTAGAGAAGCAGCACAGGAAAAAGCTGGAGCCACCTTACAGTCTTTAGAGGATTGGAGGACACTGTGGAGTGTGCAAACTGAAATTCTACAGAAGAAGGGCCACTTCCTACAAGTAAAAAAACAATTTCTCCAACACTGGAATCTCCCCACCACTTTCCATTCCCAACATTCCCTAGTGAGGCACAAACAAGTGCAAAGCTGTGGGAGAAGAAAGTGGGAGCCCGGAGTCCAATCCCAACAGCGCTGCCCATTAGTTCTGTGCCTTAGACAAGTTATTTTTATTTTTATTTTATTTTATTTTTTTAAAGATTTTATTTATTTGAGAGAGAGAATGAGAGAGAGAGAGAGAGAGAGAGAGCATGAGATGGGGGAGTGTCAGAGGGAGAAGTAGACCCCCTGCTGAGCAGGGAGCCCGATGTGGGACTCGATCACGGGACTCCAGGATCATGACCTGAGCCGAAGGCAGTCGCTTAACCAACTGAGCCACCCAGGCGCCTGACAAGTTATTTTTAAAATGTTCATTTCTTTAGGGGCGCCTGGGTGGCTCAGTCATTAAGCGTCTGCCTTTGGCTCAGGTCATGATCCTAGGGTCCTGGGATTGAGCCCCGCATCAGGCTCCCTGCTCCGCGGGAAGCCTGCTTCTCCCTCTCCCACTCCCCCTGCTTGTGTTCCCGCTCTCACTGTCTCTCTCCGTCAAATAAATAAATAAAATCTTAAAAAAAAATGTTCATTTCTGGGCGCTTAGGTGGCTCAGTTGGTTAAGCGACTGCCTTCGGCTCAGGTCATGATCCTGGAGTCCCAGGATCGAGTCCCACATCGGGCTCCCTGCTCAGCAGGGGGTCTACTTCTCCCTCTGCCCTCTTCCCTCTCATGCTCTCTGTCTCTCATTCTCTCTCTCTCTCAAATAAATAAATAAATAAATAAAAATCTTTAAAAAACAATGTTCATTTCTTTAGTTAAAACTGAGACACCACCTATTATTATTTAACAATGGAAAAAAATAATGGGAGTTATTATATCTTATATGGGTTTTATTTTCAGGGAGACAAGCTCTACCCATTTGTTCTAGGAAAACAAATTACATACATATGATATAATATACAAATACATAGTATATAAATACATAAATTATATATTATAATGTATAAATACAGAAACACTCTTAATGTGTCAAACGACCTGACAAACCTCTCTGGTGACTGATCCCCAACAGCATTAAAGACACAAAGCATAGTGGTCCCGACCTCAGGCACTTAACTGATGTTGACGAGACAAGTCATACACACATGACAATGACAGTTTATGACTAAAGGCACCTTCTGCAGAGGGAAATGTACAAGACTGGGGATCAGGAGGTCTGAGTTTACGACACACCCCTGTACACAAGTCACTTCTCAGTGGGTCTCCCTCTTCCTGGCTACAGTACAAGTCAGACTAGCTCTGCTTCAGTCTTTCCAGGGAAAAAATCTCTGATTTACAATGCAGAGCAAGGCTCCAAGTGCTATGGAAGAGGGGACACACCAGCACACTGGTTTGGAGAAGCTCTATGGAGAACTGGGACTTGCACTCAGATCTGGAAATGGAAAGGACTTGGGATCCTAGGAAAAGGACAAGGGCATCATGTTGGGAGGAAGAGCAAGAGCAATCCAGGAGAAACAAGTCAAGTGTCTTTAAGGGCCAGTGACATCAGTCTAGCTGGTGAGGTCTATTGTCAGACTGGAAGTAGGGGAAGGGTCAGACCCCAAAGTGTATAAATAACAGAAAGGAGTCTGGACTTTGTCTTGGAAGCAGAAGGAACAATCATAAGTTTCACAACAGGCATAAACTGTTAGAAGAAATCTCATTTCCCGATCCCCGCTGTTTTACTCCCAAGGAGGGAATAATACTGGCGACAGATTTTCAGCCCTTCTTCAAACTCCTCCCACATCTAATCAGGGACCTATCAGACTGGAGAGACTGGGAAAAGGAACAGAGCAGACATGGCCCCACGTGTGCTCCAGGCTTCAGTGCCTGCAGTTCTGGGGGGGTAAACTCAACTGAGGGAGTAACAAGCAGCCCAATTCCAGCCACAAGCTGGTGGAGGTTCTTCAAGCCCAGTTTATAATAAAGCTGATCACTGCACCTCCATCTCTGTTGACTATTTCCAAACTGATCTGGGAGGAGGAGAGGATGAAGGCATTTGATTCACCACCTTTTCCAACTACAAATAGAAATAAGATAATAACGGTGCTTCCGAAAGATTCACCAGTGGAAGCTGACAAGATGGACCGAAGGTGGAAAAGACTGGAAGCCTTAAATCAATTATGGAGCTCTCACGATAATCCAAGTGCTCAGTGAATGATCTGCAACTACCAATATCCAGGTCTGATCAGTAACTACTCTCATCAAAACATGTACTTGAGCCAATCTGCAAGACAGTAAATCAAGGAGCACACACCTCAATTGCCAACATTTTTTTTTCAATTAATGTCCTTTCATAACTAAAACTGCTTCTGTTGACCAGTGGGATCTTTAATTAAAGGAACCAAAGCAATTTACTAAATATATAAAGGACAAGAAATGAAAAGCTCACCAGTGCAAAACCCTACCAAGCTACACAGAATTCTATCATGTTACAAGTCCATTTTACATAGCCCCAAAATCAAGAGAGAAAGCTCGCGGAACTTGCCCACCATCCTGAAGAGATAACCAGCTCTGCCAGTATCCTCTCAAAGGGTGTCTTCTGCTGCCAGAAGTTAGCAGCACTTGAAAACACTACCAAGCACTTCTCCGGCTCACTTACATTGTATACAGCCTACTCAGATCACAGACAGGTTCCCTTAGTATTGCTACACATATACAGGACACCTAAAGTTGTTTTGTGAAATGCCTCCTCGTGGCCCCCATATGGAACTTAGGGCAACGTCTGTATGCTCATCTCCTTGTTTCATAGCTCACACAAAGTAAATGTGAAATGCTTTAAGCAGGTAAGCGCCAGAGCCTAATCCTAGTGAGCTCAGATACCTATGGCTTTCTAATACCTTCTACAAACAAACCAAAAGCCTTAGTAGAGCTGTGAAAACTCTCCTCCAATCACCCTAATTCTAAAACACTATCCTCGGAGATTCCTCTTTGTTTTCTGAAAGTCACCCCACTAGCTCACATCTGGTTCTCCCTCACATGTGTTATTACCCTGAAGAACCACTTAAGCTTCTCCAAAGTAACTTGGAGATGAAAGTTATAGCAGAAGGCAGACACTCACTCTGCTACGTCACCTAGTATGCTCACTAGGTTCACTAAGAAACAGAGCCCCTAAGTTTCTTTTTAGTGAGAATCCTGATTTTTATCTACCACTCTTGACCTTCTATAGGATACTTTAGGTACACTGTCTGTAAACTACATTCCTAGGATCACCCCACACCCAAGCCTCTATGATAGACAAAAGATGAAATACCCTGCCAGGCAGAAGGGAATGAATATTTTAAGGCAGTTTTAACTTGGATTATGAAATTATCCATCTGGTCCCAACAAAATCCTTTTGAAAATGAACGAACTATATAGTAAATTCTGAGTCATAGCATAAACCATCCAAAATGCTTTCTTCTCTTTAAAACTTACTTCCTCCATGCCTGGTCTGACAATCTCATTACTTTATGTGAGCACTCACATCAATCTCTGCGTTTTATGGGTGCTCCTGCTCTACATTCTGCACTGAGGTTTTAGAAACTTAAATTCCTTGAGTTCCTTTTAACTATATAGAGGTTATGTATTTTTTTCTTTGCATTTCCTCAGAAAGTTTAAATGTTCTGTACAAAGAATTTAGGAAGAGACAAAATGAGAAACATTCCATTTGTACACGATGACAAATACGGAGTTTCCTGAATGAAGAGTACATGTGGATGCTGATAGGATCTCTAGCCAGGACCCTTAATGCCACCCACTCTGTGGTGAATCTGTACCCATGCCCTCCAAGCTCTCTACTGTGGTCTCTACTGGTCTCATTTACGTATCCCTTCCTGAGCACTACTGATGTGTCCGGCACTGTGTCAGAGGCTGGATGAGAGAAACAGACAAGGAGTGACCCCACACTAGAGAGCTCGTGGCCGAGGGAAGCTGGGCAGTCCTCTTCGGTGTGCGCAGACCCACGGCTCTCCCAGACTGCCCGCGCACTGACTCCCGGGACCGGGCATCATCCTGACAGCTGCCCCTCTGCCACTCCACACTGCTGCTGTCCCCCAAACCTCCCTGGGTCACCCTCTGACGTCCCTTCCCTTACACCCTGTGCGTGCGAATGTATTTTAATTCTTCTTAATCCAAAAGGAATGGTAAGAAGTGGGAGGGCCAGTATTGAGGTTATCTTTCCCTCATCAGGAGGTGAGAAAGTGGTTCATTTTGGATGAAAGAAGTAGAGTTATGTCCAGGGGCTGGAGTAAGGCCAAAGGCAAACCATTCTGTGTAGGTAGAGCCAAGTGTGCGGGGGGCGGGGGGCGGGGCGGGGAAGAGACGCACCTGGCCTTCTTGGACTTCGTCCTGGCTACAGAGTCGGCGCTGCTCCTCTTCTCTTTGGCCTCTTTGGTGCCCGAGGCCTCCCGGGGCTTCCGCGCTTTCTTGGCTCCATCCTTCTGCTTAGGCTCCTTGGGCTCCTTGGCCCTCTTGGGCTCCTTGGCCTTCCTGGGTTCCTTTGGCTCTCTAGGTTCTCGCTTCCTCTTTGGCTTGGGCTCCCTGTCCTTGCTTCCCTTTGCTGTACCCTCTTGCTCCCCTGGATCCTTTTTCTTCCTTTTCTTCTTTACTCCAGTGCCTCCCCCTCCACTGTCCTCCATTCCATTATGGGATGTCATTTTCCTAGGAAAAAGGGTCTCAGCTTCCTCCTCAGCAGCATACAGGGCCTCCTGAGGCAGACAGTGACTGGCAACATCTTCAATTTTCTCTTCCTGATCAGTGCTGTGGTCAAACGGGGAGGGGGATTTGTAGTCAAAATTGACAGAGGCATCAGACATTGGGGAGTGATTCAGAACTTTTAAATTTGACAACTGTAAAAGAGAGAGAAACAAGCATATTACTTTTCCATTGCATGCTTCATTCTAGAGAGTGCTATGACGTCTGAATGCACGGATGTGTTCAACATTTACTGATTTCCTACCGTGTGTTAGTTCTTCATGGGCTAGGTCTTAGGGAGACAGTGGCAACCGGGACACACTTTATTTGTTTGCCTTTGCGGACCCGCACCAAGCCACTGTTAGCATATAAAAAATTCATATGTTTAAAAAAAAACAAACAAACCCTACCACTCTAAAGGATTTCCATGTTATGTGCCAAAATCTGAAACACCTTAGAAGTCCCACGTCTAGAACAGGCAACAACAATGATGTCCCACAAGATACTTTTAGATCCTAGGCACACTGTTCTGACCCAGAATGGCATATCTCATGCAAGGACACGAAAGTTCTGCTCAAGTGTGCTCATAAATAAAAGTGGTATCCCTGGATGGCAAGGACGCGGGGGCAAACTCAGCATGGTGTTGATTTCCCCAAATCTTTGCTCTCACATATCCTCAAGCTGCATCAACATTCAGCTGGTTTGGTTTTCAACAAGAAAACTTGGATCATTCAAAACTACATCTTTTATTTTTAACTAAAAGTGGTGGTCCTCTGTATGATCATCTAAGCCCCCAGACACAGCACCAAATAACCTTTGGCCACTTGCAAAAACAAAACAAAACAACAACAACAAAAAACCCTGCCCATATAAGAGAAAGCTTTATTGTGACAGATGCCATTAGAAGAAAATGTGTCACAGAAGCTAAAGACATCTTCCTAAAAAGGAAGTTCTGAAGCTGTTTTTGAGCACCATTAAATAAAGGTGCTGCTTCCCAAGGTGACCACTTTCAGGAAACATCCCTTTGGAAGCAGAAGTCACATCTCAGACTTTCAGGTCTGGTATCACAGAATACATCTGTCATTTCATAACCAAGCTAAGGTTGGCAATAATCCAATAACGTGGGTGCTGGTTTCAGGCAACAGCATACTCTCCTGGGTTGGGAACAAAGAAATAATTTAAGGAGAGCCTGGGAGGGACAAGCAGGCTTTCCAGGAAGTCGGCTACAATCATCTTTGCATGATGGCTTAGGAACAGCACCATTTGTGACTAGTCTGCTCCCCTAACAAGAGGCTTGGTGTGTGCTAAAGGGCACAGACACTTGCCTAGGTGGCGTGGCTTCCTTCCAGTGTTCTGGTTACCCAATCTGTGCTCAGACTTCCTGGCCCACCCTGGGAGTGATGGAGTGCAAAATTCAGCTGCATGCTTCCCCTTCTGTGTTTCCCAGCTCCCTTCCCTAGTCCAATACTCCCAAATGTAACACTGAGAATCCCAGGAGAAAAAGATGAAAGAAAAGAAGGATTTTTTTTGATCTTTATCATAAATAAAGTCCAGTGTCATAAACAAGCCTAAGTCCAGAAAGAATTGGTCATTCTGGCAGCACTCACTATTAGAAAGAAAAGAAAAGAAAAGAAAAGGAGGAAGGAAGGAAAGAAGGAAGAAAAAGAAAGAAAAGAAAGGGAAAGAGAAAGAAAGAAAGAAAAAGGGAAAGAAAGGAAAACAATTCAGTTTGACTACCTCACTGCTGATTTAGTACTTAAGGATGGCTTAGGAAAAGGAGAAGCTAAGCAAACTAAAAAGGAATTTAAAATCAAATACAAGAAAGTGGTTGAGAGAGTCAATTTTATGCTACACCTTTTACCACAATAAAAAGAAAAAAAGAAGAGAGAAAGAAAAAACAAGGCAACAAGAAACCCAAGAGAGCAGTAATAGGTACCCCGGTGAAGCTCAGAACCCGAGAGTACACAGCCATCCCTGGGATATTAATGAATTCTGTGCAAGGGACACTTGACCCTCAGGAGACAAGTTTTTGCTTAGCATGCAAGGGTGGACACACTAAAAAAGCAAGAGATACAAGTTAGTTTATTAAAGAGGCTTTCAAAGACAACATATTCAAGACCTAATTCCACCAAGGCAGCTCTCTGTAGATAAAAGTGGGACCCTCTTTTTAACTCATACCTCATTTCAAGGTCTATCTTTTGAAGGCTAGGGCCCTCCAAAGTGGAGGCAGATGAAGGCAGGTGGTAGAAACTGGATATGCAATCACTAGGCAGTAACAATAGCAACAGCTAACATTTATTGGACATATATCATATGGATATACTCAAAATTATGCAAAGCATGCTTCTTGTTATCTCTAATCTTTACAACAATCCTGAAAGGTTAGTGTAAAGACACCTATTTTGTATATGAAGAAACAGAAGATTACTGATGTTAGGTGATGTACCCACAGACATACCCCTAGTGAGTGGAGGAACTTGGATCTGGACCTTCTGGCCAAAAGCTAGTGCTTGCTTCACTGAGCACTTTATGACATACATCCCAGGAAACCATAACAATTGCTTGGCCACCAGACCAGCATGATTGGACTTGGTTAGAAATGTTAAATGGACTTGGCCTATACAACCATTTTGGGAAAAAGTTAGGTAGTTCTTTATAAATGTAAACATGTAACTACCTGACATCCCAGCAATTCTACTCTGAGGAATCACAAACAGTTATCTGCTCTACCCCCCATTTTACAGATAAGATAGCCAGGTCACAGTGATGAAGCAACTTATCAAAAGGTTTTATTCTGGGGTGCCTGGGTGGCTCAGTTAAGGTCTGCCTTTGGCTCAGGTCATGATCTCAGGGTCCTGGGATCAAGCCCTGCATTGAGCCCCAAGTCAAGCTCCCTGCTCAGTGGGGAGTCTAATTCTCCTTCTGCCTCTGCCCCTCTTCCCCTCCCTGCTTGTGATTTCTCCAATAATTAAATAAAATCTTTAAAAAAAAAAAAAAAAGGTTGGGATGCCTGGGTGGCTCAGTCAGTTAGGCATCTGCCTTTGGCTCAGGTCATATCTCAGGGTCCTGGGATGGAGTCCCCCATCAGGATCCCACATCAGGCTTCTCCCTCTGCCTGCCGCTCCCCCTGCCTGTGCTCTCGCTCTCTCTCTGGCATATTAATAAAATATTTTTTAAAAAAGATTATATTCCTAAGGAGTGGCAGAGCGGGGACATCCTACAGGAAGAAGGGAACCTCAAGAAATGCAGCACAATTAGTCAATGTTAAAAAGGGAGAAGTACGGGGCGCCTGGGTGGCTCAGTTGGTTAAGCGACTGCCTTCGGCTCAGGTCATGATCCTGGAGTCCCGGGATCAAGTCCCGCATCGGGCTCCCTGCTCAGCAGGGGGTCTGCTGCTCCCTCTGCCCTCTTCCCTCTCGTGCTCTCTGTCTCTCATTCTCTCTCTCTCAAATAAATAAATAAAATCTTTAAAAAAAAATAAAAAGGGAGAAGTATCCCAAGAGGAAGATACTAGTATTGAAAAAATAAAATTAAATCCCCAAAGTCAATAACCCACCAGAAATGTTTTTATTTTTAAGGCATCTTGTTGGGGGGCTTGGAAAAGATATCTGATGATTAAAAAATTTGACAAAAAATATTTCTTCCATGTGTCTCAAGGTCAGTGGAGAAGAGGCAAAGAGCCTCAATAGACTGTTTGCAGCCTCTACCAAGGACAGTAAATCACCACTTTGAAAATGGCCCTGAAGGGAACAGAATGGCGATGATGGACCACAATACCAGCAATATTTTACATTATATTGACAATTTACTAAAAAGAGACGAGCACCTAGAACACAGGATGAACTAGAGAGGCCAACTGATAAAAAAAACAACAACACTAGCTCATAAACCTCACTGTTAGCAATAAAACCCACTTCTTTGACTCAAAATTAGCAACCTATGATATTCCCAGAAAAGACACTTGAAGATATGAATCCAGATAAACTGGATCTGGGTCAGTTGTAGAGGATTTGAGAACTAATGGAGAGATGATGGCCTAGGTCAATGGTTCCCAAAGGTCCAAGGAAAGTATTTGAAAGTCAAAACAGACTCTAATTAAGAAAATCACCCATGGTACAACATGGATAGACCTTGAAAACATTATGCTAAGTGAAAGAAGCCAAATACTAAAGACTACACATTGTATAATTCCATTTATAGGAAATGCCCGGAATTGGCATATCCATAGAGACAAGAAGTAAATTAGTGTTGCCAGGGCCTGAGGGAAGAGGAAAGGAAGAGTGCCTGCTAATGGGCATATAGTTTCTTTTGGGGGTGGTGAAAATGTTCTGGAATCAAATAGTGGTGATCTTTATACAATCTTGTGACTACACTAAAAACCACTGAATTGCACAACTTAAAAATATAAGAGAATTTACAGAATGTGAATTATATCTCAATTTTTAAAAATCCAATATAAGGATAGATCGAAAATGGTCCTCTCAGACACTGCTGACAGCTCCATCAACTATTAAAAAGCCTTTTGCAGGGGAGTATAGCAACATACCAAAATTTTAATTATGGATATGCTTTTAAACTGAGCGATTTCTCTTTTACAACAGAAATTAAGGAAACATTCAGGTTCTCCAAAGGCTTAGAATATCTGATACATAATTTCTAATAGAGGAGAAAAAACCTATAAATAACCTATTTGTCAACCTTTAGTAAAATGTTTAAATAAACAGCACATCCATTATATGGAACAGTATTATGCAGCCATTGTTATTGTATTGTATTACATTATATTATTATTAATTACAAAGCTTTAGTTAACATAAAAAAAAAGTCCACAACATGTTGGAAAGTGGAAAAAAAAATCTATGATCTAATCTTATTTTTGTTTTTTAAAAATCTGTTTTTCAACACTAGCTTTTAAAAATAAATTTAGGACACACACCAGATGTTAACCATCATTATGTCTGGGTGATAGGACTGTGGGTAACATTCACTTCTTTCTTTATAACTTTCTGAAAGTTATTATTTGTTTCCATCTGTCTCCCATGACTAGAATGTAAGCTTCACAAGGCAGTGACTGAGGTATTCCCCAATCTTTGTGGCTTATGGTAAAACTCAAATCATACGGTTATTGAATGAAATGAGTATTTTTAACTTGAAAAACAGAAAAAAGTCTATAAAAGTGTACATGTAAACAAAAATGACAACAAATTCCTGTGTATAGAAGAAAGAATGGAAGAAAATCGACAAGAAGTTAGCAGTCATCATCTGAGGCTGTGCAAATTTGGTTGTTTTTCTACATAGACATCTACATTTTCAGTATCAAGGATATTACTTTTGCAATACTTGTAATAAAAATATTTTCACATATATGTAATAGAAAAATCTTAAAGACTTTAATAATGAACCGGAAAAGCTTTTTTATTTATTTTTTTTTTTTTTAAAAGATTTTATTTATTTATTTGACAGAGAGAGACACAGTGAGAGAGGGAATACAAGCAGGGGGAATGGGAGAGGGAGAAGCAGGCTTCCCGTGGAGCAGGGAGCCCGATGCGGGGCTCGATCCCAGGACCCTGGGATCATGATCTGAGCCGAAGGCAGACACTTAACGACTGAGCCATCCAGGTGCCCCCGGAAAAGCTTTTTTGCCAGACAATTCATATTCCTCCAAATTACCATGATTCAGGAATCAAAGGCAGAATATGAGAGGCACCACCACCGTGATCACATCTGACTGAGTGCTGGGCAAAGAGAGTGCTTGTTGCCCTCAGGTCGGAAAGGCCCCCCTGCATGCCCTCCATCCCAAAGCGCTTCAGCAGTGCATCTTTGACCCAGTGGTAAGCAAGGCCCAGCTACTCCTGCTGTCTGCCTCACAGTCTTCCATTTTCTCCAGCAGGAAGATGAAAATGTTCTACGTTTAGACTTACTTAATGTCAAGAAATTACCTCAACATAAAAATGAGTAGAATCGCTTATCTAAATTTGAGACCTTCTGACTTTTTTTTAAAGTCCACAGGATAAAAATGAAAGATCCGCTACTATTAATGAAATAATATGAATAATATGAACTATAAATGAAAATGTCTATTTGCAGACATTTTCAGGTGAAGCAGAAGTTTTCTTTTTTTTTAAGACTTTATTTGACAGAGAGACACAGCGAGAGCAGGAACACAAGCAGGGGGAGTGGGAGAGGGAGAAGCAGGCTTCCCACTGAGCAGGGAGCCTGATGTGGGGCTCGATCCCAGGACCCCGGGATCATGACCTTAGCCGAAGGCAGACGCTTAACGACTGAGCCACTCAGGTGCCCCCGAAGCAGACGTTTTCAGATGGTAAAAGTTATTTTCCAATTAAAATTAGGATTGTCTTATTTTTTCACCTTCACTTTCTTCTGAAAAGAATATTTCCTACAGTTATCTGACCATGGGACAGACTAAAGGTGAAAACCCACATTTCCTCGCCTTCCTTACTGCCATTGTACTGGGCTCAGTCATTTGGTAAGCAAGCTGTGCTGGGTGAGCAAGACCCAGGAACAATGGCCAACTGTGTGTGTGTCCCTTCAGTTTTCCCTCCTCCATTTAGAATATTCAATCCCTCTTTACCCAGGAGTCCTGTGCTCTGGATGACAAAGCAAGCATTCTGACCCTGATGTGGCTCCTCATGTAGTCACAGGCGGTTGGCACCAGGAGGAGGAGAGGTCAGTTTCAAGGCATCTAAGGATAATGCAGGTAGAGGTGTCCAAGAGGCTCTTGGGTATACTTTCCAAAAGACATTTCTTTCCCCTTTTTAAAAAAAAAATTATTTGTTTGCTTGTTTATTTATTTATGAGAGATAGAGGGAGAGAGACAGAGAGAGCATGAGCAGGGACAGAGGGAGAGGGAGAAGCAGACTCCCTGCCTAGCAGCGAGCCTGATGCGGGGGCTCAATCCCAGAACCCTGGGATTATGACCTGAGCCCAAGGCAGACACTTAACTGTCTGAGCCACCCAGGCACCCCCACCAAAAGACATTTCTACAAGAATGAATCAGACTGCCCATGAAGAATGGACAAAGAGGGAAGAACAGGACCAAAACCTGACAAGCACTAATATTAAGGGTCCCCAGAGGAAAAACCTACAGAAGAGGGTGAGAAAGGGCACTCAGGTCAGTGATGTAGTGGGGAAAAAAGTACGAAAGTGTGGTATCACAGAAGCCAGAAGATGAGAGCACTTCAAGACAGAATGATTACAGGCATCAAATGCTGCTTAGAACCTGGTAAATTAAGACTGAAGAGTGGTGGACAGATTTGCAAACTTCAAACTCCTTCTTGCCAAAGTCCTAGAATCTGTCATTCTTAGTCCCCACCTCTATTATCACATTTTTGCATTTAAAACCAGGGAGTGGGGGGCACTTTTCTCTTACGATATTTTAAGAGTCTCAGAGATTTAACTTCTCCAGATCTGCAAAGTCAATCTAAACCTTGTTAATTCCAGGCAGTAACAAAAACCAGGGGCAGGGAGATTATTAAATTTAGATGCAGACAGGGAAGAGTAAGAAGGAGAGAGAAAACAATACTTTATAAGTACCTTGCCTGCCCTCCAGTAATGCTCCCCATGTGACCATTCACATCCACAGGTCCAGCAACAGATACATTTAATTTCTTTTCTTCACAGGATGCTTTTAAACCTTCCCTTCTTTAGGCTACATAATCCTAGTTTCATCCATCATACTTCACATAAAATGAGTCAGCGTCCTTTTACCATCCTCATCATTGTGCTCAGGTTTCTCAAGTATGTTTCAGAACACAGAACGAATTAGGACAACAACAAAAAAAATCTGTCAGGGTATGTCAAAAGATAGAGAAAAGTATTCAATGCTCAGATTTCTTTTCTTTCTTTGGAGGAGGGAGAATTTGGGTAAGGTCCACTTTAAGTCCTTTTGAAACATGACTCCAGGGTGAGGCTGTTTAAAATCTTGGTTCTACTAAGCAATTTACTAACACTCCCTCTTTAGGCATGTTGAAAAGGCCTTCCAATGACTGCCAAATGGAAGGTCTGACTGGTATTAACTCTTAAGACCCTCTGCAGTGTGATGCTGAAAAGTCTAAAAAATGAATTATTTTATTCATCCATATGATCAACTTTGCTATTCTTCTTTCACTATTCTGAATTGTGGGTCATTATTTGGTGATCTATATTGGTGGTACACACCATCTTAGAGATGGGAGTTCTCACCTTCCCCCAGTGCAGCACAGCTGGAACCAATTCATTTGGGAATCTGATGGCCAGCTAAATCCACCATGCTTCATTTTTTTTTTTTTTAAGATTTTATTTATTTAGAGAGAGAGTGCGAGCAGGGGTTGGGGGGGGTCAGAAGAAAAGGGAGAGAGAATCTCAAGCAGACTCTGCACTGAGCGCAGAGCCCAATTCAGGGCTCGATCTCACGACCTGGAGACCATGGCCTGAGCCAAAGTCAAGAATTAGATGCTTACCCAACTGAGCCACCCAGGCACCCCAATCCACCATGCCTCTTATCTTAGTTTATCTTTGGTCACCACTCAAAATTTAGCACTCCACACTCTAGGCCTTTCCACTCTCCTTTACTATCATATACTTCACCTTCCCAAACCCAACCATATACTGCTACTCTTTTCCCTCCCAAGCTTTCCTCCTGGATCCTCAGAAACGACCTAACTAAACCTGGCTCTACCCAGAAGACACCATCTCTTTAAAACACTCTCAGGGGGCGCCTGGATGGCTCAGTCAGTTAAGCCTCTGCCTTCAGCTCGGGTCATGATCTCAGGGTCCTGGGATCGAGTAATGCATCAGGCTCTCTGCTCAGCAGGGATCCTGCTTCTCCCTCGCCCTCTCTCTCTGCCTGCCTTTCCCCCTGCTTGTGCTTGCTCTCTCTCTCCCTCTCTGTCAAATAAACAAATAAATAAAATAAACAAAACATTCTCAGATTCTTTGGTGGGGCTGACATGCCCCAAACCTCCATACTCTCCAGTTCCAAAGCATCACTCCTCCACCCTCAGTGCAGAGCCCTGACTCTTGAGGCCTATGCCACCCCCTACAGTAACCGCCTGTTTGTGACCAGACTGAACTTTCTTAAGAAAAGAAAACCTAACTTCAGTCAATTTTGTAGCTGGCCCCAAGCAGACCCTCAAATATTTTTTGATGAGTAACTGGAAAATAGCTGGGAAAACTCAACAAATATTTAGTAAATAAATTATATCCATATTCACTCTAGAAAAGCAAACAGGGTCTAATAATCCGAAGGTCTTTGAGATTCCCACCATGTATCTGAAGAAAACGCTTCCCGCCGCACCTTTTCATTTTCTAGAGGTCTCAGAATGATGGGCCTCTACTGATCTGACTTTTGGTCATGGGGTTTGGAGAGAAGGTTCTCTCCTAATTACTGCAAGTCTGGGTTAACCTCCTGGTCACGGCTCCTGGTTTTAATCCTCCTCACGGTATTACCTACTCCTGTTGTACTCGTGCTCATGAACTCTCCTCTGCATTGGATATGTGCACCAAAAACCCTCTTATCTGTATCATATATCACATAATATTAACCATATTTTGTACTTCTCTCAGCATCATGCAAGGAGCTGGGATGAATAAAAATCAGTACTTCCTTACCACGGGTTTGTTGCCACTAACATGAACTACACATCTTCACCGTGCGAAGTAGTTCTAGCCGTACTACACATCAGTGGTGCTACAACGGTTTTCAGTGACGAAAGCTCACATTTTATTTCTCTAGCAAAATGTTTTTCTGCCTAATACTGCTTAGTCTTCTTAGGGATTGCAATGTATATATTTCTTAGTAGAGTAAGTTTATTTTTTTACATAGATAAAAGCGCCCGAGTGACTCATTTCTTTTTTTTTTTTTCAAAGATTTTATTTATTTATTTGAGAGAGAGAATGAGATAGAGAGAGAGAGCATGAGAGGGGGGAGGGTCAGAGGACGAAGCAGACTCCCTGCCGAGCAGGGAGCCCGATGCGGGACTCGATCCCGGGACTCCAGGATCATGACCTGAGCCGAGGGCAGTCGCTTAACCAACTGAGCTACCCAGGCGCCCCGAGTGACTCATTTCTAAATGTTTTATTAAAGTCTATTTGTCTTGCAACACTTCTTTGGGCAACACAGTCAATCTCTAAATCCTTTGTCCTCGGCACACTATTCCTGGTATGCCCTTTCTAGTTAATAAGAAGTATGATTATTTATTACTAAGTTCTGACTAACTTGTAAATCTTTCATCTCAGTTTAATTTACCTTGATAAAATTTTAGACAAGGAAATGAGGATTTTTCAATATCAGAACACATTTTACATGTTTTCCTCCTCCTGAGAAGAGGAAAAATGAATTCATAGGAATGAGGGTTTTTAAAGAGTGGGCATTTTATTTGCTGTTACTTCTAACACCTTAGAAACACGGTAAGGGAAAGGACAAAGTCTGGTGGTTAATTTTGTCATTCTACTGGATGATTTCCTTGCCACTGACACACTGAATGCCAAGTACTCGATGAGCTACCCCATTTAATCCAGTACCTCGTGAAAAATGTATGATTGTTCCCATCCAAGTGATAGAAAAACAGGCTGAACTTGTCCAAAGTTACACAGTGATGTGGTAGTTTCAATCCTATTCTACCAAAATCTCTGTCAGGCAATGAACTCTACACACACGCTCAATCCTGGTACCTACGGATTGCTGTGGCATGAATATAAGTTTCTATTTTCATGTCCTGCAGTTCAGTCATCAGTATGGTCTATGACCTGTACCTGGAAGAGAAGCAGGATCAACTCCTCCTGAAAGTGACTCCACTTAATTAACTTGCTCCCCTACCATAGCTAATACTAACTTTTAAGGAGAAACCCCACCCTGCTGGTCAATATTACAGTCTCAACGAAAACTCATCTCACTGAGGCTGTGTGATAGCTGGCTGACAGACTAAGGTCTTAATATGAACCAGTAAAATCTCAGGAGAAAGAAATGTAAATTCACGGTGGTGTAACTCTGGTAAAGAGTTTTCTTCGTGAGAGGGGCACCTGACTGGCTTAGCTGGTCAAGCATGAGACTCTTGATCTAGGAGTCGTGAGTTTTCAAGCCCCACGTTGGGTGTAGAGATTACTTAAAAAAAAAAAAAAGTGTTTTTACTAAAATAAAAGCTTACCTTAAAGAATGTTTAAAACATTAAATATGCAGAATGTTTTAAGAAATATAAACCTGCCCAGGTATCATAAATGATGATAGTTTTGAAGGCTTGTGGTTCTCTTCAGTAATGTGTTCTTTTTAACAGAGATTTTAATATTCCACTAGGTGGATATGCTATGATATAAACAGTCCCTTTTTGATGGACACATAGGTTCCTTTCCATATTTGCTGCTATAAACAAAGCAGCAGTGAAAACCTTTGTTCACCCAGTTGACACTTGTCTGAGTATCTCCACAGGATAAATTCCTGGCAGATGGAACTGCATTCGCTGTAGTGTTTGTCTACCAGCTGATGACGCTAGAGAGCCAGGATAGAAAGAAATCAGTGTGGGGAGAGTGTTTAGTCATGGCTCTTCCTGTTAAGAATTGGCAGCAGATGAGTCAATTATTTCCCAAAACAATCTGTTTTGGTTTCACAAGGACCTATCCACTAGGACAGAACAGAGAATAATCCTTGTAACCATATCCCTAGGTCACCCTGTATCTGACTAGGTGCTGCTCCCTAGAAGCAGAGAGCAAAGTGGCTGATCCCACCCAACATCTTTGCATAGGGTCTCAGTGAAGGGCAGTGGCTCAGATATCCCCAGTTTCCAGACTCATTCAATTCTGTAAAAGGAAAACCAGCCCATCAGAGATAGCCTGTTTCCAAGAGACGGAAGCAGGTCCCCCTTCTCTCCTCCCTGAGCCACACTGGTCGGGGTCTCTGGGTTCCTTGGAATATGGAGCCACCTGGAACACAGAAGTATCAACCAAGGAAAAGATTCTGGCAGGATGGGTCACGCAGGCCAAATGTTTTTATCAATTCTCCTCCCCTTCAAGAAATCAAATGCCAAATAGTTGGTGTTCACATCCTTCCAATTAGTTCACTATTTTGTCTAGAAGGAAACTTCCCCAGGTCATTATGAGTATGAACTTTCTAAATGAGAATGCTTTTAAAGTAACCAAACATCCAAAATGATAAATACATAAACTATAAAGAGTTGACCACATCTCGGAAAGCTGTTCCAGGGGAAGAAAGATTTCCCTTCCACACAGCTAATTTGGAGTAATATTTTGACTTACAGTTTTCATTACACTTATTCCTATATGGAGCTGAGCTGATCATAAGTACAAGTTAGGTCATTCAGAACAGAACTGTCAGTGACCGTGTGGAGAACGGGGAAAACCAGCAGCAGGGCAATGACAGAGGCTGAGAGACACGCCCTAAGTGCCAGCAACTGTTCGTGGTGAAGGAGCAGCAGGGAGCGTCCGCCAGGCGCAGTCGCTTAGATACGTGGTCACTTACCTGCTTCTCTTTCTTTTGTATTTTCATTATCATCTATTGAAGGAAGATACTTATACCTGTAAAACATAAAAAAAGGGGGGGGGCAAAGATTATGGTAAAATCCAAAATAAAACATTGAAGGTCACCTCAGGATTAACTGTGACACATGAGGAAAACACAGAATAGAGGTTGCTTCGACAGAACATTTACAATCATGTAACAACAGTCAACAGCCAGCCCCCAGAGTATGGTCTTTTTTTTTTTTTTTTAAGATTTTATTTATTTATTTGACAGAGAGAGAGAGAGAGAACACAAGTAGGGGAAGTGGCAGGCAGATGGAGAAGCAGGCTCCCCGCTGAGCAAGGAGCCTGATGCGGGACTCGATCCCAGGACCCTGAGATCATGACCTGAGCCAAAGGCAGATGCTTAACCAACTGAGCCACCCAGGCATCCTTCCCAGAGTATGGTCTTAACCCTACCTAACCCTATCCTGAACCCTAATTTATTGACTCCACAGATGGGTGGAGTCAAAAAGACACTATCTTTGTAGATAAAATAAGTTATAAAAGATGCTGGCATATTAAATTACAAAGTAAACTAAAAGAGGAACCTAAAATAATGATGTGTCTATACTAAGAGGAGTGGAAGAGAGGGGATAAAAATAAGTCTTCATTTTTTCTGGAAGGAAGTCAATAAATCAAGAAATAGAAATATAAAAAAAAAAGAGAGAGAGAGAGAGCTCAGAAAGTTAAAAGTAGTTCTCTTGAAGGCCAGAGAGGGAAGCTGGTGTGAGATAGGACAGGTCAGTCCTGCATTTCATCACATGCCCCCTTATATTATTATTTGATGTTTTAAACCATGTGCATATGTTATTTGACAAAGTAAGTTCTATTCCAATATTTGGAATGACTGATTTTACTGTACCCAGATTTAAGCCCCCATCTCCACACCAACCATAACGCCCATGATGACACTGAACTTTTTCTCGTAAATGACTTTTGAGCACCACAGCAATAAAAGCCTGGCTCTAGAGGTCCAGAAGTGGTTTGGGGCATCCCAGGAACCAGGAAGAACCCTAATCTAAGAAATCTGGAATGTGGGGCTGCCTGAATCACTAACTAGTAGTACCTCAGGTCTAAAGCTCTCACCACGGGGTGCCTGGGTGGCTCAGCCGGTTAAGCGTCTGCCTTCAGCTCAGGTCATGATCCTGGGGTCCTGGGATTGAGCCCCACATCCGGCTCCCTGCCCAGCGGAGAGCCTGCTTCTCCCTCTCCCTCTGCCTGCCACTCTGCCTACTTGTGCTCTCTATCTCTCTGTCAAATAAATAAATAAAATCTTTAAAAATAAATAAATAAATAAAGCTCTCACCTTCCTCATATAAAAACAAGGGAGGGATCCCAGAATTTCAGCTTCCAGTTCTAGCCCGATGTGGACACTGCCTCGTGTTTATTATGTACTCTGATTTCCTGGACATCCCACAGAGCTACAGAACAACACTCCCTCAGGAAACCATCCCGGAGGCACATAATTATCCTTATGTTCATAATTTTTTCTTATATCCCAATGAACATGATGTGTAGGCAGTAAGCAGAACTTTAAGATTCAAGTGTGATGGATTGTTTTTTAAGTGAGTTCATGATGTTTGATGCAAACTGAGAAAAATGAAAGATTTGTGATTCCAAGCATTCTGGGGGCCACAATTACAGTTTATCAGTTTAATGTCTGTCCACTTAGGCTTTTTCCTCCAAGAGTCAAAGGGATTTCCTGTAAGAAGAACCATAAAATGCTACGAGGATATTGCTGTTCACAAACAAAATAGCATCCAAGGAGCTAACAAGCTGCAAAGTGGGCAGAGTCAGGGAGAAAGGGAAGAGGGCAGAGAAGAATCAGCCAAATCAGGGAAAGGGAAAGTTAGGAAATGATGATTCTTATTTTATTTTATTTGTTTTGTTTTGTTATGCTATGTTATGTTAGTCACCATACAGTACATCATTAGTTTGTGATTAATGTTCCATGATTCATTGTTTTCGTATAACACCCAGTGCTCCATGCAGTACGTGCCCTCCTTAATACCCATCACCGGGCTAACCCATTCCCCCACCCCCCTCCCCTCTAAAACCTTCAGTTTGTTTCTCAGAGTCCACAGTCTTTCATGGTTCGTCTCTCCCTCTGATCTTCCCCCCTTCATTTTTCCCTTCCTTCTCCTAATGTCCTCCATGCTGTTCCTATGTTCCACAAATAAGTGAAACCATGTGATAATTGGCTTTCTCTGCTTGACTTATTTCACTTAGTATAATCTCCTCCAGTCCCATCCATGTTGATGTAAAAGTTGGGTATTCATCCTTTCTGATGGCTGAGTAATATCCCATTTTATTTATGGCCCACATCTTCTTTATCCATTCATCTGCTGAAGGGCATCTCGGCTCTTTCCAGTTTGGCTATTGCGGACATTGCTGCTATGAACATTGGGGTGCATATGGCCCTTCTTTTCACTACATCTGTATCTTTGGGGTAAATACCGAGTAGTGCAATTGCTGGGTCATAGGGTAGCTCTATTTTTAATTTTTTGAGGAACCTCCACACTGTTTTCCCAAAATGGCTGTACCAATTCGCATTCCCGCTAACAGTGTAAGAGAGTTACCCTTTCTCCACAACCTCTCCAACATTTGTTTCTTGCCTTGTCCATTTTTGCCATTCTAACTGGTGTAAGGTGGTATTTCAATATGGTTTTGATTTGATTTTCCCTGATGGCTAATGATGATGAGCATTCTTTCATGTGTCTGTTAGCCATTTGTATGTCTTCTTTGGAGAAATGTCTGTTTGTGTCTTCTGCCCATTTTTTTGACTTGATTATTTGTTTTTTGGGTGTTGAGTTTGAGAAGTTCTTTAGAGATCTTGGATACCAGCCCTTTGCTGTGTCATTTGCAAATATCTTCTTCCATTCTGTGGGTTGCCTCTGTTTTGCTGTTTCCTTTGCTGTGCAGAAACTTTGTATCTTGACGAAGTCCCAAAAGTTCATTTTTGCTTTTGTTTCACTTGCCTTTGGAGATGTATCTTGAAAGAAGCTGCTGTGGCTGATGTCAAAGAGGTTACTGCCTATGTTCTCCTCTAGGATTTTGATGGATTCCTGTCTCACATTGAGGTCTTTCATCCATTTTGAGTTTATCTTTGTGTAGGGTGTTAGAGAATGGTCGAGTTTCATTCTTCTGTAGACAGCTGTCCTATTTTCCCAGCACCATTTACTGAAGAGACTGTCTTTGGAAATGATTCTAAGAATTGTTGTGAGGATCAGCATTTGATGGAACAAGTATTCACTTCAAGAAAACCATGAATTCCAGAGAAATGGTAAGCGCTCTTAATCAGGGCAGTTAAAAGAATTTTACCCCTAATATGATAAATACCAGTTCTAGGTAAATTATGTTAGTACAAGTTTATCTCCCTTAACTGTCAACTTCAAATTATCAGACCCTAGAAAACCAACATTCTCAGCTATCACAAATGGCCACACATTCTGAAATGAAGAAAGAAGCTGGAAAAATAAATTCCAGCTAATAAAAAAGGAATATTATCAATAATTGAACACAAGTACTCAAAATTCTGCCCAACAAAATGAAAATCAATCATTTAAAAAAATATAGAAAACCCCACCAATGCCAATAAAAATTATTTTTTAATATCTAAAGAATAAGTATAGTGCAGCAGAGCCGTCAAATAACAGTTTCTGATTAAATACGATAAACTAACATGCACATAAGCAGGGCCACCGCACTGCCAGGAACGTGCGGAAAACAGGTCCAATTTTTCATTGCTAATGGCACTTCCCTAATTGTTTCAAGCTTTCTGAAGAGCACTCAGGCAAGGTGCCACTAGATCTATAAACTGTTGAGTCCTTTTATCTGCCGATTCCACTTTAAGGAATACATCGCAAGAAATCAGCCAGTAGGAAATAAAGCTGGGCCATGGAGGAAGCCCAAAGAGGAGGTGGGCAGTGTGAACATGCCTATCACAGCAGAGCCCGGGCAATGGAGGGGGCCACAAGGATCACAGGCCCACCAGCTGTAGGGCCTGTGTCATCACAGGACCTGAGCACATCAGAGAGGCAAGAAGAGCCAAGCTGGAAAGACTAGGGAAGAGGTGGGCTCACCCAAATATGGGTTGAACTGGATTACCCAGCAAAGAGAAAGCTTGGAGAAAAAGAGGTGGTGAGGGACTCTAAACCAAATCTCCCCACCGCCAGTTTGTTCACAGGCAAGATACCACTACCTGCACCTTGACGGATATTCATGCTGCACAGGTGACCCCAACCCATCCTCTGAAAGACAGAGATAACGTGGGTGTGAAATCTGAGTGGGAATGATGTTACTCTGTAAGAAAATTGCTCTCGGGGCGCCTGGTGGCTCAGTCGTTAAGCATCTGCCTTCGGCTCAGGTCATGATCCCAGGGTCCTGGAATCCCGCCCCGCATCGGGCTCCCGGCTCAGCGGGAAGCCTGCTTCTCCTTCTCCCACTCCCCCACTTGTGTTCCCTCTCTCGCTCTCTCTTTGTCAAGTAAATAAATGAAATCTTTACAAAAAAAAAAATAATAATAATTGCTCTCGTTCACTAGAAGCGAGTTTTGACAAACCTCACGTTATTATTGTGAAATCACTTACAGCCCCGTGATGGATCACCACACACCAGCATGTCGCCACCCTACAAAATGGCAGACACCATCAACAACATCAGTAGGTGTTCAATAAGCATTTACTGACTTTTAGTTCTCCAAATAATATCTAATAATTTACAAAGCACTCCCTCAAGTCACCTCTACTTTTTTACCTCCCTTTTATGGCACACATTTAAAAAAAATAAAATTAAAACTACGTAATCTTTTTGCAAGGCTAAGTTTTATGTAGCAGGAATGGATGGACAAATATAACCCAAAGCATGTACTTCTGCACAATACCAGACATGGTCTTACAGCTTCTGTTGTGCAGCCA